TTTACATATGGATGTATTTGCTTGTAGATCTTTGCGCATATTGTGCTGTGTAATAAATCGTGCGGTCTTCGTTTAGTAATAAACTTTCGGCTGATCTTTTTTATCTTATCTTAAACGAATTTTAAAGTTGTTGAGGAGGAGCATAAATAAGAAAAGGTTTAATGTCTGCTTTGCTTTCTGTTGTGCAGTATTCACGGGTAATATTTTCAGATTTCAAAATGTCGAATATTGGACCAAATGATTTAGATTCACAATTCTTTTCACTTCATCCTCCTTTCTTCTTTTCACTGTCATAGAAGTCTGTTGTGAACTGTTTTATTTGATAGTGCAGACCCATATCTCAGCGATAGAATGAAAAACAAGATTTGAGTAGTTCTACCGTCTTTAGCCTCCTATGATATTTCTCAGTCTCGAGCTTTCTCATATGAAAATTCGCCTAAACGCTGTTGAAAGAAAGGAAGGTTCCAATAAGAACTGGAAAACGACATAATAAAGGAAATAAAGAAGGCTTTTTCAAAATTTCTCGTTCTAAAAATCAAAAAGCGTCTTTGATCAGCAAACGACGGGCAAAATAAGTGTTCTCTTGATGAAAGAAACTCCCATAAGGCGACTAATTCCTCTTCTCGAAATACACCTGATGTTACTGTAAACAAACGTAAGCCTGAGAACTTCTCATTTGAAACATTTTTGGAATAGTGGTAGTTCACCTTTAAAAACCTTCAGTTTTAAGCTTATTGAAAATTTTGCTTAGTAAGAATCTACTGATAATGTCAACTTTACCCAATCGCATGCTGTTCGCTTTTACGACGAAAATCACAAATCTACACAGCATAGCCACAGAAAAAAATCTGCTAGTTCTTATTTGTATTGTTAAAGTATTGCGTCAATGATTGATAGCGGTCTGTAAAAAAATTGAAATAATTGCGAGAGGAAGACATGCGAACAATTGGGGTTCAGCATGTAGACAGTCTATAAGCGTATTATGATTACGTAAGCTTCTTATTCAACCTCCACTTTCCCGCCACACCCTTTCTTTCGAGAAAAAAAAAGCTTTTTACGAAACACAAAAGTGCACTCAAGATATACAACTATGTGAAAGACGTGTTAATTCTATCAGTGGGATTTTTTTTGGGCTTTATTGGTTATCAAGGAAGATTCTAGAAGCAAAACGATGTCATGCTCCTAAAGGCACATCAATGACTCTTTTTTTGCTATTGCTTAGTTCGTTTTAGACACTCTAAGTTGGTTCTAATCTATCGTTTAAAGCATCAGTATTAATCTTGTGTGCTACTGTAGAAGTGCAAAAGCAAGGAAGTTCAA